TGAGCAAGCTGATTTTCTGGGAAGTTGTAAAGGTGAGTGAGAACTGCAGTGTGTATTGGGAGTTGAATATAAAAGGTTACACAAGATATATCCTGGTTCAGAGGTGGTGTAATCCTCCTACATCTAGTCCCAACCTATTTCAGATAGATTTCCACAAAATATCTCATTACATCTAGTGCCCAATCTATCCTTGGCCTGGACATAGATTGTGAGGTTTTTCACAAAGAATTTGAACACCATTCCAAGCTACTCAATCCTCCAAGGTTATTCACTAATGGCATTGACTTGCCAGAAGCTACTCATCATGTCCTTTTCCTTCTCACCTTCTGGATTTGAACACAAAGCCCTCCAGATTGTCTAACACTAGTCTAGTTTACATGGGTGAAAACTAAACTACCAACTCATCTAAGCTCTATAGGTTTGTATGAATTTGAGCTAGTCTAAGAGCATTAGATGAGTGGGGTGGAAACCGAAGTGGTGAAGGGAAACTGACACTTGTTTGCTGGATGTGTTCTTGTGTATCTTGATTCCCTTCTATTCCACTTGGCTTCTCCACTTGTTCTTCCCTCACTCCTTCTGTATTTATAGACTTGGTGTTGAATCTTGATCGTTGCTTGATCTACTTACTTTGTTCTGCTTGACTTAAGGAGAGCATGGTTTGTCTTTGCCTTCTTGTGATACGGATCAATATCTTCACTCAACTTGTTTCCTCATCTCAAGGCATAGATAAAGATTGATATATCTTTATTTCTTTTGCTCGTAGAGTTTTAGTATATAAGCTAAGTGTTTGTTCAATCCTTCCTTACAAATAAAATAACTTTCTTTTAGTAAATTAACTTTATAAGAAAATCTCATAATGTGGTAAAAAATTCTTATAAAATTACTTTCTATCTTTTTGTCATTTTGACTGCAAGTTGGTCTTTTGTTTTAATAGTTTTTTGCTAAGAGAAGGATTAGTCAGTTTCGGCTGCCTTGCCTGGAAAACTGAGGTAGGAGCCAGCTGAAATATTTTCAGTGGGCTACTCCCTATGTTTTTCAGATGGCTGCCGAAATGGTTTCTAGTTGACTCTTTTTCGTACCTTTTCTTTTTTATTCTTTTCTTTTTGTTTTTGGTATGTTTCTTCTCTTTTCAGTACTCTTTGTTTTTCTTGAGTACTTTATAACTATTATAGTAGAACACTACAATAAACAAAGTAGAACAAATACAAGAGAATCTAGTCTAATACAGAGATAATAAAAAGGGTTTGACATCATCAAAACTATATATGTTAATCATCAAAATCAGGGGATCTAACCATTTCCCCCTTTTTGGTGTTGCCAAAAACAAGAATCAAAAACACTTTTTAAGAAGCAAAAATAATGTTAAAAGTCCTAAGTGTTTGTATGTTTGATTCAATTCCCCCCCCCCCCCCCCATCGTAGTAACAAACATCTATTCAAGGTGCCTTCTGCCTGATGACTCGCCAATTTGAAGAATATTGGCTGACTTTCTCTTTCTCCGTCTCTCATTTTCCACCTTGACGTTGTGGAGTTTGTAGTGGAAGGCTTTGTTGATCACTTCCATTGAGAGTGATATCTCAATGCTTTGTGTTTTTAGTCATTCCAATGCAAACTCTTCTTCCTTGATTATCTTGGGTGCATTGATGACGAGATTTTCAACATGGGACATTCTCCATGTCCTCCATTCAAGCACTCGCGGACGCTCTCCTAGCAGTACCTCTTTTTTTGCTTCGTGTAAGATTCGTGACTCAAGATCAGCGAAGCACTCTATGTGTATAAGGTTAGGTATTGTCTGGTGTTGTCTTGATGGTTGTGTAGGTGAAAAAGTAAGCTCAAGGGATACTTGATGAGGTGAGGAGTTCTTCATTCTCAGAAGGGTGATGAATATTAGAGCTGGTTTTTCAAGAAGATGCAGAGGTGTTTTGTAGTTTAAGTGAAGATTGTGGTGGAGAGGACATTTATATTGTTAAAATGCAACCTTTCGCCTTTCAATTACTTTTGGGGATGTAACTGAAGCATTATGTATCAGCCATTAATGATCTTGCGGTTGTTTTTCCTTTTCAAGACTGAAAGCAACTTTGATAAGTGAGTGAGAAAAAAATGTTAGAGAAACTCATTGAACTTATTTATGAGATTGCTTTTCAGATCTTCTTAGAACACTTAGTCAATTGCTCGATCACCATGTGTCAATCTAGCATATTGCACGTTGTAATAAATTCATCTTTCTGATTTGATCTTCCCTTAGACTCAGATATGTAACACCTTTATTGAATGTCAGCATGTGTTTGATGTAATCAAGATAAATTCTTTCTGCATGACTGAATTCGAATAAGCACTCCTATTCATTGTATTTTCAGGAAATATATATGATCAGCTTTGATCTGTAATGTTTGAGTACTATCTGTAATGCTTGATGAATTTGATATCCATAGATATTCCATAATTCAGATAGCTCAATCTTGAATGTTTTCATGTTCTTTGAAACATATGACATGTTCCGAGTTTACATAAAACTGTGAGATGGCTTGTCGGTGTTTTCGGCAGGCAGTTGATTTTTTTGCAGATAAAATTTGGCCAAAAAAGTTCAGCTCGTTGCTTTCCTGCTGAAATCTTTTTCTTTTCTTCTTCATAGAGTTTCTGGTGACTTGTAGCATAATTTCTGAATGCAACTAATCTTCCTTTTGAATGGGCTCCTTCTGTTATCCAAAACATTGACTGATATCTACCATAATGATCTGTTTTTATTGAACAAATCCCACCTGATCCTCAAAGCTAGTCAAGTCATCTGATTTCTGGACTTTGTCATTGGAGTTGATCAGTTGTAATGAGGCCTAGAAACTCTTAAAAGATTATGTAGCATTTTAGCAAACAGTTCTTTATAGCTCAAGAAATCCTTTAGGCTTAGTTGAGCCTTTTGATTTAGAGTTTGCTAATGCTTTCTTTTCATCACCATTCTTCATCTGAAGAATCCTCATTCTTCCATTGTGTTTGTATCTCCTTGAAGCTTTGTAGAACATTCCCGTTGTGTTTGATGATTGAGTCCCTTTGACTTGTTACTCAAAAATGGACATTCTTAGGACACTGTTATTAGCAGAAAGTAGCTAGTTAACATGGTGCTCCTAAATTAGGACACTACTAGTTTAGTAGGTAGCTCCTATTTTCACTGGGACGTTGCATGGGAGCAGGGTGCTCCTAATAAAAATAAGACTCTACATAACAGTAGGATGCTCCTTTTTAACCAGAGTCCATTTCTTGAGTTTTTGTTGAGGTAAAATGTTCCCCCTCAAACTTTGATAACCTTCTCATAAAGCAAGATGATTGTAGTAAAGTTTGCCTTGAACTTTAGTGTAGTTCCCCCTAACTTAGATAACCTTCAATTCATACCAAATGATGATACCAAATGATTTTTAATTTGATGAGGAGAAATACCTTTAAGTTTTCTGGCATAAATATTCGTTCTTCAAGGTTGTTCAATATTCAAGATCTTGCCTTGATAAATAGAATTGCTAGGATCCTTTGTTTGCTTGAAATATCTCATTGGTGTAGACATCATCAAAATCTGCCTTCAATGTGATATGATCCTAACCATCTTTGTGTGATGTTTGTTGATGCTGGTTCAATCTCCTTTTGAAATAAGACATTCTGATTGGGATTGAACATCATCTGATATATCCACTTATACTTGAGGGCTGGAGAAGAAGGTCTTTTCCGTTGATAATTTGCTCTTGATGATTTCAGAGAGCTGAAGAATCTTTACCAGCAGTTAGTAGCAGGCAGCTGGGAGCTTGCTAACTTTCTGTTTGAGAATCCTTTCTTTCCAGTGAAAACAATTTTGATGACATCTTTGAGAGCTAGATGTCTTCTTTTTTCATGTACTAGCGTGTTCTCAATAGATACTTCTTAAATCATCAACATAAGTTGTATTAATGATTTAAAAAGTCTACTTTGTTGTTCTCTAGTCTTGACATCTTCTTTTCACTCTATGTTCCCATCATTTTTGTCTTTGGTTTTTCCTTTCCTTTCGGAGCAGTAGTACCACATGTGATACCATGAAAACCCAACAGTCATCTTTTGATATTCATAAGTACCAAATGATAAAATCTGGAGTAGATTGATACCAATTGATGATTAATGAACTCATTAGATTCTTGTTGTGTTTCTTCCTTTATATCATTGAATCTGTTCTGAACCTTTTAATCCCAGTATTGAATGAGCAGAATGACCACAGGGTACGGGTTGGTCATATACCTGGTTTGTCCAGGTATGGTTTTTCTGTGGAGAATATGGACAGTTGCAAGTATAATTTCCTGCTTTGTGTAGTAGTTGACTTCTCAAAAAAATGTTGTCAATTGGATCTTTTGGGATATAAGTTAGGAAGGTTCTTTTGCATGAGAGTAAGGATAAGGTGGATTATGTGGTGATGTTGGAACACATATATAGTTGGTTACTTGTTAATGGGTCCCAAGTGAGGTAAAAGTCTATAGGGAGGGGGTGAATAGACTTAAATCTTTTCATTTTTCAACCCTTTTTTCTCTAACAGAATGAGTTCCAATATCTTTTGGGAGATATTGAAACATGCAGTGGAAGTCTTGACCTCAAGAGTGTGACACTTTATTGAAACAAATGTTATGACCCTTTTAGTTGTGAGGAGATGGATGAAACGTGTTACAGATGTGTTTGCCAAAAACAGATGACTCAATGAGCAGACTGCCGAAATCTAAAGGGTTGGCTGCCAGTCACTTTGGAGCTGACACCAAACCTTTAGGAGCAGGCTGCCAAAATTAAGGTTCTGTTTTAATTAGTTAAAATATAGCAATGATTTATATTCTAGCACATTGATAGGCTTTAGAACTAGTCTTAACACATAAGTATGAAGGATTTAGACCTATAGAAATAAATCACTTTGATCAGATAACTAGGAGTTGACTCACAGTGAACTGGATATGTTCATTGGACAATTTTAGCGAGCAAGTTGTTTTACTGTAAAGTTGTGAAAGTGAGTGAGAACTAAAGTGTGTGTTGGGAGCAAAATATAAAAGGTGACACAAGATATATCCTTGTTCAGAGGTGGTGTAATCCTCGTACATACAGTCCTAACCTATTTCAGATGGATTTCCACTAAATGAATATCTCATTACATTTAGTGCCCAATCTACCCTTGGCCCAGGCATAGAGTGTGAGGTTTTTCACAAAGAATTTGAACACAATTCCAAGATACTCAGTCCTCCCAAGGTTTTTCACTAATGGCATTGACTTACCAAGAGCTACTCATGTCCTCCAGAATGTCTAACACTAGTCTAGATTACATGGGTGTATATTTAAACTATCAACTAATCTAAGCTCTATAGGTTTGTATGAATTATAGCTAATCTAAGAGCATTAGATGAGTGGGGTGGTAGCCGAAAATGGTGAAGAAGAATCAACTGGTTGGATGTGAGCATGGATAGTTTGTTTCTCTTCTATTCCACTTGGCTCCTCTCGTTTTACAACACTTGGTCTTCCCACACTCCTTTTGTATTTATGGACTTGATCATTGAATCTCCACCGTTGGATGAGGAAATCAATCTTCACCGTAGCTTAATGTCCTTGCTTTGTCACGCCCCAGACCGCAATCCAAGCGCGTGTACAACCGCCGTATAATTAAGTGACGTCACCCGCGAGTCAACCCCACTTAATTACACAAGGCGTTCGAGAAAACAATCCATCCATACTCAGTAGTAAACATACATAACAACATCACATTTCAACCAATGAATAGCGGAAATATTCAACGGTAAGTCATAAGCCACAATCGGCCAACAACATGGGCATGCAAGCCCCAAAAATAGTTTATAGTAGAACAAATATCCATGAGCAGGTGTTCGGTAGTTTGAAAGAAAATAAGGAAGCACGAACCACGTCTTCCTGATTTGATATCACCCGTGAGAAGGTGCAAGTAGCAAGCCCTAGCTTCAACCTGAAAAATGGTGGGGCCCCCCGAAGGGGTCAGTACAAGTACCGAGCGAGTAGCAGGCTAAATATAGAATAACTAATGTTTCAAGTATAAGACCCAAACATAGGGTGATACTTAAATAGATAGTCTTTCCCCCAAGTTATGAAATACTTATTGTATATATATACTTGGAAAATATCCGATCCGTAGATCACCATTTTATTTGGGAAGAAATAGTATTAGTCAATATTCTTGACTAAAAAACCCTACCCACCCTTATACCTATGAGTGTATAGGACTCCTCCTTGTCCCTATTTGTATATCTTAATCTATGAGTTTTAGGATCAAAATCCTCGGATACTCCACCGGTTTGTGAGTGTTAAGGCCTCATAAGTCATAGGGTCCTCCACCAAGTTTTGAGTGTTAAGTACTTTTAAGTACTAGGGTCCTCCACCAAGTTTTGAGTGTTAAGTACTTTTTAAGTACTAGGGTCCTCCACCAAGTTTTGAGTGTTAAGTACTTTTTAAGTACTAGGGTCCTCCACCAAGTTTTGAGTGTTAAGTACTTTTTAAGTACTAGGGTCCTCCACCAAGTTTGAGTGTTAAGGACTTTAAGTCCTAGGGTCCTCCACCAAGTTTGAGTGTTAAGGACTTTAGTCCTAGGGTCCTCCACCAAGTTTGAGTGTTAAGTACTTTTTAAGTACTAGGGTCCTCCACCAAGTTTGAGTGTTAAGTACTTTTTAAGTACTAGGGTCCTCCACCAAGTTTTCCTATGATCAACCTCCTATCAACCTAGATAGAGTCTATATCATCCTTAGTTACTCATAACTAATCCAATACATAAATCTTATGTGTCACAATCCATGCAAAGCCATGCATTTATATAAATGTATAATTAACTAACATCAACCGATATTAATTAATCCATCATCCATCGGTCAACGTTGTCGTTGACCGCCAATTCAAGCCTTGTACATATCAACTTAATCATCATATAATTAAGTCAATAATACTCATTTGAGCTTCTTTTACACTTCATGCTAATGTGCATTTTATATAATTCCTCATATCATATTTCATGCATAATCAATTAATTCTTTTCATACAACTTGATAATGTTGGCTAATCACATGTTTAAATATCTTTTAAACATCATTATGAACACATATAACATTTATTTAGGTAATCTCATAATTAACCCAAAAGTTATAAGATATTAAGCCGTCCACTCACCTTGAACTAGCGTTATGAAGTTCTACCCCTCTTGGTTGAACTCCGGTGAAACTCCGGCGACTTTCGGTCAACTCCGGCGACAGCTCCGGCGACCTTTCCAACTTTGTGAAATCACTTGAAATACCCTTTACAAGTGCCTAACAAAGTTTTATAATCATAAAACCCATATTAATACAAATAACCTCAAAAAGGTTATTTTCCGGTGAACCGGTCGTTTTGGCTTCTAAGCCCGTTCTTGGACATGGAATCACTTTCCAACCCATTAATCCATACTTATAACATGTAGAACCCTCTTAATGGTTCTTCACATGATATGTATCTCATATGGTAGAAGAAAAATAAAGAAAGAGTTATAATAAGGTCATTACCTTAATTATTTCACACTTTTAGCACTTTAGCTCTTTTTTGGGTGATTCTTCCTTGATGATTTCTCTTCAACAATGGAGGGAGGAAGAATGGAGAGTTTTCCTTCTCTTTTTCTGTAGCTTGGCCGAACAAATGGGGGAGAGAGGAAGGGGATGGACCTTTGTCTCATTAAACCAATGAGTGTAAAAAAATGGGGGTCCACCTAGGTACTTTTGATGCCATTTCCTTCATGTCAAAACCCTTCTCCCATGCTCCCTCCTTCTACCAGCCGACCAACCCTCAAGTTTGAGTGGAAAAATCGTGGGTTGGCCCCCACTCATGTGGGAGGTCAACCCCTTTTGTCCCGAAGTGTACAATCGGCCCCGAAAGTTGTATTTTTCGGACTGTTTTAATCATATTTTATTTTATCGGGTCAAATAAAATATATTATGTGCTCTTACTCATTATGACATGTATAATGAATATACATTCCCAAACTTTAATTTATAAACCTCCGAAATTCATTTTCGGGCTGTTATCTGTTAACTTGTCGGTACCGGTAATTGGGCCTCTTTTTCCCAATCGGTCAACTCTGCGCCTTTCCACGACCCAAATAAAATATCCACCACTATATAAATATTATCTTGACTAAGATGAATAAAATATGTGGTCTCGGGAGTGTCGGGCGGCCCCCGCTCCCGGTGTGGGTCCCACGTGCAATTTACTATTCACGTGAAAGAAATAATAAAAATTTACAACTTCGTAAATTCATTAATTCTTTAGTAAGGTTCAATACATTATTTACATAAAAGTAAATATATTTGGGGACGGTGTTACAAGTTCACCCCCCCTTATTTGGGATTTCGTCCCCGAAATCCAAGTATCTAATCGAAAAGAAATGGGTATTGCTCCCTCATTGAGACCTCGGTCTCCCAAGTTTCTTCTTCGACTCGATCACTCCTCCAAAGAACCTTTACCATAGGAATCTCCTTATTCCTAAGCTTCTTCACTTGTTGACCAACAATCTTCACTGGTTCCACCGCATATTGCAAGTCCTCACGGATCTCTACCGGTGGTTTCTCAAGAATATGAGATGGGTCTCGTATGTACTTCTTGAGCATTGATACATGAAACACGTCATGTATCTTCTCAAGTTCAGGCGTCAACTTGAGACGGTAAGCCACGGCCCCGATCCTTTCAAGGATTTCAAATGGTCCTATGTATCGGGGGTTAAGCTTCCCCCTCGATACGAATCGGATGATGCCCTTCCAAGGAGAAATCCTTAGGAAGACCTCATCACCGACTTCGAACTCTAACGGTTTCCGCCGTTTATCAGCATAACTCTTCTGTCGGTCCTGAGCTGCCTTCAATCTATCCCGAATGATCCTTACCTTGGCCTTGGTGATTTCAACCAGCTCTATCCCTTCGAGTTTGTCCTCGCCAATCTCGTCCCAACACAATGGTGTTCTGCATTTCCTCCCATACAATGCCTCATATGGGGGCATGCCGATACTTGCCTGATAACTGTTGTTATAGGCAAACTCCACTAGGGCCAAATGCTTGTCCCAACTTCCCTGGAACTCCAATGCACATGCCCTAAGCATGTCTTCCAAGATCTGTATCACCCGTTCGGACTGTCCGTCGGTCTGTGGGTGAAAAGCTGTGCTAAACTTCAGTTTAGTCCCCAAAGACGCTTGAAACTTTGGCCAAAATCGGGATGTGAATCGTGGATCCCTATCCGAGACAATGGATATTGGGACTCCATGTAATCTCACAATTTCCTCCGTGTATAGCTTGGCCAATCTTTCAAGAGGATAAGAAATGTTGATAGGCAGAAAGTGTGCACTCTTGGTGAGCCTATCAACCACTACCCATACTGCATCGTAGTTGTTCACTGTTCGTGGTAGCCCCACCACGAAGTCCATCGTCACATGTTCCCACTTCCACTCCGGGATGGTAAGTGGTTGCAAAAGCCCTGCCGGGTGCTGATGCTCTGCCTTAACTTGTTGGCAAGTAAGGCATCGACTCACATACTCTGCGATGTCTCTCTTCATACCTGACCACCAGTAACTTTCCTTCAAATCTCGGTACATTTTTGTACCTCCTGGATGCATAGCATAAGCTGAAGAATGAGCCTCCTCAAGTATAGACTTCTGGAGGTCTTCATTCTTTGGTATGCACACACGATCCTTAAACAATAATAGACCGTCATCACGTACTCGAAAGTTCTCAACAGGCCCCTCAATGATTCGTTCACGAATCTTCTGACACTCCTCGTCAATGGCCTGACATCTACTGATCTCACCCAGCAATGTAGGTCTGACCTCAAACCTAGCAATGAGCGCCCCGCTCGTGGATACCTCCACGTGTGCCCTCAATGCCTGTAGACATGTGAGTAGCGTCCCCGACGTACTCTTTCTGCTCAGTGCATCGGCCACTACATTGGCCTTTCCGGGATGATAGTCGATGATCAAGTCATAGTCCTTGATCAACTCCATCCATCTCCTCTGCCTCATATTCAACTCTTTCTGAGTGAATACATACTTCAAGCTCTTATGATCAGTATAAATGTGACACGTCTCCCCGTAGAGATAATGCCTCCAAATCTTCAATGCAAACACTACCGCCCCCAACTCTAGATCGTGAGTAGGGTAGTTCACCTCGTGTTTCCTCAATTGCCTAGAAGCATAGGCAATCACCTTACCGTTTTGCATTAGTACACATCCAAGCCCTTGGATGCTAGCATCGCTGTAGATGTCATACCCTATCCCTTGTATGGGTAGGGCAAGGACAGGTGCTTCGGTAAGTCGTTTCTTCAATTCAAGGAACCCCTTCTCGCACTTGTCGTCCCATATGAACTTGGCCCCCTTCTTTGTGAGCTTCGTTAATGGAGACGCCAATACGGAGAATTTTTCAACAAATTTACGATAGTATCCCGCTAAGCCAAGGAAACTACGTATTTCCTTCGCATTCCTGGGTCTCTCCCAATCCATGATCGCTTTTATCTTGGTGTTATCCACAGCAACACCTGAACCGGATATGACATGACCGAGGAAACCAATCTCTTTGAGCCAAAATTCGCATTTAGAGAACTTGGCGAAGAGTTGCTTTTCCCTTAGCCGATCAAGTACAAGCCTCAAATGATGTTCGTGCTCTTCCTCGCTCTTGGAGTATATCAAGATGTCATCAATGAATACTATCACAAATTGATCTAAGTATTCACTAAACACACGATTCATCAAGTCCATGAATGCCGCTGGTGCGTTAGTTAAACCAAACGACATCACAAGGAACTCGTAATGACCATATCTAGTGCGAAATGCACTCTTAGGTATGTCGCTCTCCTTGATCTTCAACTGATGATACCCCGACCTCAAGTCAATCTTCGAGAACACTTTTGCCCCTCGAAGTTGATCGAACAAGTCATCAATCCTCGGTAAGGGATACCTGTTCTTGATGGTGACCTTGTTCAATTGTCGGTAGTCGATACACATTCTTAGTGTACCATCTTTCTTCTTCACGAAGAGTACGGGTGCTCCCCACGGTGAATGACTGGGTCTGATGAACCCGTTGTCCAATAAATCTTGTAGTTGGACCTTCAACTCTTGAAGTTCGGCCGGTGCCATTCGATAAGGAGGAATCGAAATGGGTTTGGTTCCCGGCTCCACTTCGATTACAAATTCAATCTCTCTATCGGGTGGAAGCCCCGGTAGGTCCTTGGGAAAGACGTCCGGGTACTTGCACACGACTCGAACATCCTTGATGTCGACTTCTTTCTTCGTATCGTCTACCACGTAAGCAAGGTATGTGTGGCATCCCTTCCTCATCATCTTTCGTGCTCTCATCACGGATATGATACAAGCATTAGATTTCCCCCGATCTCCTTCAAAACGTAGCATATTCCCTTGATCATCCTCAAGCTCCAACACCTTGGTGTAGCAATCTACTCGAGCATGGTGCTTCTCAAGCCAATCCATTCCTAGGATTGCATCGAACTCCAACATGCTTAGAGGTACGAAATCACAAGTCAAGGGTTGACCCGTCACTTCCACCTCACATGATGGATAGTAATAATTTCTCTCCACATCGTCTCCTAACGGTGTGGAGACTAGCAACGTTTGCGTCATAGGTGTCAATGGCACGTCAAGGCCCTCGGCGAACGCCTCACTCACAAATGAGCGTTGTGCCCCGGTATCGATGAGGATCCTCGCGCACCTACCATTGATCTTTAATGTTCCTACATTTATACACCATGTAAGATACATTTTCTAATGTTTTAACACATCATTAAGATGTTATTAGGTTCATACTAATGTTTGGGATCAAACGGGGGTCCAACCGTAGAAGAACGGGGCGAAAAAATAAAGTTTCGGGTGCCAGGGGTCCACGCACGGCGTGCGTAGGGGGTACGCACGGTCGTGCGTACCTTGCCTTACCAATGGAGGCTACTGCCCCCAACGCACGGAGGTACGCACGGGCAACGCACGGCCGTGCGTGCAGCGATTTCCTCTGGGGTGCTACTGCCACCAACGCACGGAGGTACGCACGGGCAACGCACGGCCGGGCGTGCAGCGATCTCCTCTGGGGTGCTACTGCCACCAACGCACGGAGGTACGCACGGGCAACGCACGGCCGTGCGTGCAGCCCAGCCTTTAGTGCGTTGGCAGAAATCAGCCCGATTTCGCCCAATTTCGCCCAATTTCGCTCCGTTTGGTCCCGGGGTGGCCCGAACTCAACCCCCAACGGTGTATATGATCAAAATAAGCCTAGAAATACATGGGAATACGTGTATTACCTGCAACGGAGTCCGGGTTTGCTCTCGCATCCGCCTCGGTCATCGCGTACACTCGGGCTTGGGTCCCACCTTGGTTAACGGATGCGGCATGGTTTGTGGATGCGCCGCCTCTTCCCGTGCCGCCGTTGGACGGCCCCGCACGGTTCCTCCCCGTCGTGGTTCCTCCTCCGGATCCCGGAGCTCCTCCTCCCCCTAGTTGTGGGCAATTTGCCTTCATGTGGCCCGTGTTCCCACATTGATAACACCTTGGGGGTGCATTGCACTTCCCAAAATGATTTTTCGAACAATTGGCACACTTTGGAGGCCCCGTCCTTTGTGAGGAGGATGCATGCCACCGAGCATCCCTGCTCTTCTTTGCCGGTGGTGCCGGTGTCTTGAACGAACCGCCACCTCCACCGTGCTTATCCTTCCGTGCTTGCTCGGGCGGCCCCGAACTTTGCCATTTCCTCTTTTTCGCCTCTTCGGCGTCTCTCTCTTTTCTCTCATTCCATTGGGCCTCCCCGAGAAGGCCCTGCTCCACCACCTCGCTGAAGGTCATGTGGTGCGAGTACGTAGCTCGGTCACGGATGTCCAAGAGTAGGGCATCCCAAAAGTGCTCCGTCATGCGATTCTCATCAACCGCGTACTCCGGCAAGAACCTAGCCAAGGTTCTAAACTCTTGTTCCAGTTGCTTAACTGTGCCGCCCTCTTTTTGTTTGAGGTTAGTGTACTCTCTCCGTTTCACATTCACCTCGTACTCGGAGTAGTATTGAGCATAGAACTCTAGCTCAAAGTCCGCCCATGTTATTTCCCCATGGTACTTCCCTTCCACGCTCTCCCACCACGTAGAAGCTATCCCTTCAAGTAGCCGTGAAGCGACAGTCAACTTCACATCCGGTGTGATTTGCATATCTCTTGATGCATCCTTCACCTTCTTGATCCAATCGGCGGCAACGGTAATGTCACTGGTGCCGTCAAAGGACCTACACCCCCAGGCCCTAGCCTCCTTGAGGTACTTGGAGATTCTCACAACAAAACCCCCTTCACGCCCACCTTGTGACGCCGCTGGGGTGGCCACGGAAACTCCCCAGCTTCCTTGACCCGAACCTCCCCGAGAGCCACACCTAGCTTGGCGCCTAAGGTCTCTCCTTAGTTTCTCTTTTTGATACCACTCAAGTAATTCACCCATTTGGGCGAACCGGGCATCACTCTCATCGTCATCATCGGTGTATGTATCCCCCCCATCATACGGGGTCTCCTCATGCTCCGTTTCTGGAACGTAGGTTGAGTCATAGTCCTCGGTGTTGGTTTCATACACCGAGCTTACATGGCCATCACTCACAGTTTGAGCTTGATGACCCCCACGGCTTCCACGGCCTCCACGGCCTCCTCTTGAACCCCGAGATGCAGCCCGGCTTCCCCTTTGGGACGCTACCGGCGCCCGCCCTCTCGGATTGTTCCTGGTTGCCATTCGCCTGCCCTCCATTTCTGAAAGAAATATGGATGAGTCATTAGACTCCAATAAATGTCAATTGACGGAAGAACGTTACAGACACGTATTGGCCCAAGTCACTACCATACCAATTGTTAAGGGTACCATCTTAACAATTAGAGGCCTTGCAACTTAAGCACCAATAGTCCTATAAACGTCAAAATACAATGCTCATGGTTTTCGGTAAAAACTCTTTTGTAAAATCTTTTGTGAGAGGTTGATTATATAGTTTAGAACTGAGATGGCTTTGATACCACTTAATTGTCACGCCCCAGACCGCAATCCAAGCGCGTGTACAACCGCCGTATAATTAAGTGACGTCACCCGCGAGTCAACCCCACTTAATTACACAAGGCGTTCGAGAAAACAATCCATCCATACTCAGTAGTAAACATACATAACAACATCACATTTAAACCAATGAATAGCGGAAATATTCAACGGTAAGTCATAAGCCACAATCGGCCAACAACATGGGCATGCAAGCCCCAAAAATAGTTTATAGTAGAACAAATATCCATGAGCAGGTGTTCGGTAGTTTGAAAGAAAATAAGGAAGCACGAACCACGTCTTCCTGATTTGATATCACCCGTGAGAAGGTGCAAGTAGCAAGCCCTAGCTTCAACCTGAAAAATGGTGGGGCCCCCCGAAGGGGTCAGTACAAGTACCGAGCGAGTAGCAGGCTAAATATAGAATAACTAACGTTTCAAGTATAAGACCCAAACATAGGGTGATACTTAAATAGATAGTCTTTCCCCCAAGTTATGAAATACTTATTGTATATATATACTTGGAAAATATCCGATCCGTAGATCACCATTTTATTTGGGAAGAAATAGTATTAGTCAATATTCTTGACTAAAAACCCCTACCCACCCTTATACCTATGAGTGTATAGGACTCCTCCTTGTCCCTATTTGTATATCTTAATCTATGAGTTTTAGGATCAAAATCCTCGGATACTCCACCGGTTTGTGAGTGTTAAGGCCTCATACGTCCTAGGGTCCTCCACCAAGTTTTGAGTGTTAAGTACTTTTAAGTACTAGGGTCCTCCACCAAGTTTTGAGTGTTAAGTACTTTTTAAGTACTAGGGTCCTCCACCAAGTTTTGAGTGTTAAGTACTTTTTAAGTACTAGGGTCCTCCACCAAGTTTTGAGTGTTAAGTACTTTTTAAGTACTAGGGTCCTCCACCAAGTTTGAGTGTTAAGGACTTTAAGTCCTAGGGTCCTCCACCAAGTTTGAGTGTTAAGGACTTTAGTCCTAGGGTCCTCCACCAAGTTTGAGTGTTAAGTACTTTTTAAGTACTAGGGTCCTCCACCAAGTTTGAGTGTTAAGTACTTTTTAAGTACTAGGGTCCTCCACCAAGTTTTCCTATGATCAACCTCCTATCAACCTAGATAGAGTCTATATCATCCTTAGTTACTCATAACTAATCCAATACATAAATCTTATGTGTCACAATCCATGCAAAGCCATGCATTTATATAAATGTATAATTAACTAACATCAACCGATATTAATTAATCCATCATCCATCGGTCAACGTTGTCGTTGACCGCCAATTCAAGCCTTGTACATATCAACTTAATCATCATATAATTAAGTCAATAATACTCATTTGAGCTTCTTTTACACTTCATGCTAATGTGCATTTTATATAATTCCTCATATCATATTTCATGCATAATCAATTAATTCTTTTCATACAACTTGATAATGTTGGCTAATCACATGTTTAAATATCTTTTAAACATCATTATGAACACATATAACATTTATTTAGGTAATCTCATAATTAACCCAAAAGTTATAAGATATTAAGCCGTCCACTCACCTTGAACTAGCGTTATGAAGTTCTACCCCTCTTGGTTGAACTCCGGTGAAACTCCGGCGACTTTCGGTCAACTCCGGCGACAGCTCCGGCGACCTTTCCAACTTTGTGAAATCACTTGAAATACCCTTTACAAGTGCCTAACAAAGTTTTATAATCATAAAACCCATATTAATACAAATAACCTCAAAAAGGTTATTTTCCGGTGAACCGGTCGTTTTGGCTTCTAAGCCCGTTCTTGGACATGGAATCACTTTCCAACCCATTAATCCATACTTATAACATGTAGAACCCTCTTAATGGTTCTTCACATGATATGTATCTCATATGGTAGAAGAAAAATAAAGAAAGAGTTATAATAAGGTCATTACCTTAATTATTTCACACTTTTAGCACTTTAGCTCTTTTTTGGGTGATTCTTCCTTGATGATTTCTCTTCAACAATGGAGGGAGGAAGAATGGAGAGTTTTCCTTCTCTTTTTCTGTAGCTTGGCCGAACAAATGGGGGAGAGAGGAAGGGGATGGACCTTTGTCTCATTAAACCAATGAGTGTAAAAAAATGGGGGTCCACCTAGGTACTTTTGATGCCATTTCCTTCATGTCAAAACCCTTCTCCCATGCTCCCTCCTTCTACCAGCCGACCAACCCTCAAGTTTGAGTGGAAAAATCGTGGGTTGGCCCCCACTCATGTGGGAGGTCAACCCCTTTTGTCCCGAAGTGTACAATCGGCCCCGAAAGTTGTATTTTTCGGACTGTTTTAATCATATTTTATTTTATCGGGTCAAATAAAATATATTATGTGCTCTTACTCATTATGACATGTATAATGAATATACATTCCCAAACTTTAATTTATAAACCTCCGAAATTCATTTTCGGGCTGTTATCTGTTAACTTGTCGGTACCGGTAATTGGGCCTCTTTTTCCCAATCGGTCAACTCTGCGCCTTTCCACGACCCAAATAAAATATCCACCACTATATAAATATTATCTTGACTAAGATGAATAAAATATGTGGTCTCGGGAGTGTCGGGCGGCCCCCGCTCCCGGTGTGGGTCCCACGTGCAATTTACTATTCACGTGAAAGAAATAATAAAAATTTACAACTTCGTAAATTCATTAATTCTTTAGTAAGGTTCAATACATTATTTACATAAAAGTAAATATATTTGGGGACGGTGTTACATGCTTTGTTCCACTTGACTAAGGTAGCATGGTTAGTCTTTGTCTTGAAGTGACACGGATCAAAAATCTTCACTCAACTTGTTTCCTCATTTCAATGAAAAGGTAAAGATGAATTATCTTTATTTTCTTTACGCGTAGAAACTTAGTATTTAAGCTGAGTGATGTTTCATTGCTTCCTTACAAATAACAAATACTTGCTTTATGTAAGATAAATTTATAAGAAATTTATAATGTGATAAAAATCTCTTATAAATTTTCTTTTCATCAATTTGTTATTTTCACTGCAAGTTGGTCTTTTGTTTAATTGTTTTTGTTATAAGAGAAGAGTGAGTGTATTTCGGATGCCTTAACTGAAAAACAGGTTTTCAGTCGGCTGTCAAAGTTTCAACTGGCTGCCGAAATCTTGGGTTTTCAGATGACTTCCTTTGCAATGAATATCAGTTAACTCTTTTTCGTACTTTTTGTTTGTTATGCTTTTCTTTTTGTTTATGGTGTGTTTCTTCTCTTTTCGGTACTCTTTGCTTTTCTTGAGTACTTTATCACTAATATTAGAGCACATTACAATAAACAAAGTAGAACATAAACCAGAGAATCTAATCTAATACAGAGATAATAAAAAGGGTGGCATCATCAAAACTATTACATTTTAGTCAACAAAATCTAGGGGCCCTAACACCGGTCTATTTATGGATATGTGTGAATAATGGATATACCAGTAAGTGTTTTATTTTCTGGAGGTTAGGGATAGTGTAAGTAAAGCCAGATTCAATGTCATTCCAGTTTTATGATCTTCATTAGCAATGAGTTAAATGGGATTTCTCAGTTTTATTTCTTATAAGACTGATCTTAATCAACAGTTTATCCTCTTAGCAAAGTTACTATTTGGATTTCCTGAAGTTTAAGATCTTTCAGTTTGTGAAAGGAATAAACTTATCTGAATGTTCTTTTGAGTGAAGCACAGATGGGATAAATTTTTGAACACTTAAGACAAACTGAGTTACTGGAGATGTGTTTGAATATACCTCTTCATGAGCATCTTTCTTTGATGAAATTGGCCAGATGAATGATGTCATGAGAGTAGGTTTGACTTCATCTTCTTTTTGCATAGCAATCCCTTGAATGAGAACATCATTCTCATGTTGGCTTTGTGGATCTAGAGTTTGAATAACAGCTTATTGTTTCCTTGTTTCTTTTTCTTTAGAATAAGTTTCCCTCATAAGGTTTTCTATCTCATCTGACTATAAGTGTTTAGGAAAATTGGTGGTTGATCTTTTGTTCAAAATAAGCCGGTTAAGAAACTGACTCTATGAACAACCGCTCTGATACCAATTGATGGCCCCAAGTGAGGTACAAGTCTAGAGGGGGGTGAAGACACTTTTAAAATCTTTTCATTTTTCAACCATTTTTCCTTTAACAGCATGAGTTGTCCTTCTCACCTTCTAGATTTGAACACAAAGCCCTCCAGAATGTCTAACACTAGTCTAGTCTACATGGGTGAAAACTAAAGTACCAACTAATCTAAGTTTTATGGGTTTGTATGAATTTGAGCTAGTCTAAGAGAATTAGATGAGTGAAGTGGAAACCGAAGTGGTGAAGGGAAAACAACACTTGTTTGATGGATGTGTTCTTGTGTATCTTGATTCCCTTATATTCCACTTGTTATTCTCCCACTCCTTCTGTATTTATAGACTTGGTGTTGAATCTGGACTGTTGGCTGAGGAGTTCAATCTTGACTATTGTTTGATCTACTTGCTTTGTTCCACCTGATTGAAGGAGAGCATGATTGGTGTTTGTCTTCTTGTGACACAGATCAATATCTTCACTAAACTTGTTTCCTCTTCTGAAGGCAATGATAAAGATTGATATATCTTTATTTCTTTTGCTCGTAGAGTTTTAGTATACAAGTTGAGTGTTTGTTCAATGCTTCCTTAAAATAAAATCACTTCCTTTTAGTAAAATAACTTAATAAGAAATTCTCATAATGTGGTAAACATTTCTTATAAAATTACTTTCTATCTTTTTTTCATTTTGACTGCAAGTTGGTCTTTTGTTTAATTGTTTTTGTGCTAAGAGAAGAGTTAGTCAGTTTCGGTTGCCTTGCCTGGGAAACTGAAGTAGGAGCCAGCTGAAATGTTTTTAGTAGGCTACTCCTTATGTTTTCAGATGGCTAACGAAATGGTTTCCAGTTGACTCTTTTTCGTACCTTTTCTTTTTTATTCTTTTCTTTTTGTTTTTGGTACGTTTGTTCTCTTTTCAGTACTCTTTGTTTTTCTTTAGTACTTTATCACTATTATAGTAGCAAAATACAATAAACAAAGTAGAACAAATACAAGAGAATCTAGTCTAATACAGGGATAATAAAAAGGGGTTTGGCATCATCAATACGGAGTACTATATATGTTAATCATCAAAATCAGGGGACCTAACATTTTGAGAATTTTTTGCAATACATATATGGTGTGATATTATGAGTAATAAAAAGCTATTATAAACTAATTTAAATTACATATATTCCAAATGTAAAACAAGTATTTCAATTTTAAAATCTTATTTTTGATATTTTTTAATTTCAAAATTATGAGTAATAAAAATTTATTATAAATTAATTTAAAGTTCATATATTCCAAATATAAAACAAGTATTGTAATTTTAGAATCTTATTTTAGATATTTTTTTCAATTTTAAAATATATTAATATTAATAATTTTATCTTAAAAGTCAAAATGGTGTAAACACAATTAAGTAAGAACACATATTTAACAAAAACAACTTTAAAAATGAAATTTAAAAATATTAAGAAATTAAAAGATATGTACAACTTTCCATCAGCACGTTAGAGAACTAAAAAATGTTTAAGGTTGTTAAAATGTCATGAGAAACTCTTTTAATAAAAGAAAGTTAATAAGGGTAAATTTGTCTTACATTAGTTATATTTAGTAACATTGAAATTGGCTGAATCAGATAAAACTAATGAAATTATGAAATTCTAACTGGAGTGGCTGCATCGGCTGAATCGTTGAAATATTATATTTAAAATGTACTTTGTTAATAAATTTAAGAAAAAAATACATGAGAAATAACTAAAATGGTGCTCCACAGTAAATTCAACCAAAAAATTACTCCACCTGAATTATTTTGGTAATTTCTCAATTCAGCGCGCAAAATCAAATCTACGTGTTTTGGTAAAAAAAAAAACTTGGCCGATAAGCTCAAAATAAGTTGCCGAACGGGTTCATACATTAGGGCTATGTTTGGAATTTCAAGCTATAGGTGGAGGCAAATGCATGTCTGGATCAAGGTTTATTGTTTAAACTAGATGTTATTGTCTCGGTGAATTTTGAAATGTTGTATCTAAACTATATTAGTTGAACAAGGTAAATCTATTTGGTAAAAAGTGCTGACAAATGTCCAGTTAATATGGCCTAACCTAGATCGGGTCATACCAAATCAAATCAGATCAGATTCGATCATAATAGACAAATCACGAAAAAAAAAATCAGTCCAATTAAAATCATTTTAAATGGAGTTCTCCCTAAATTTATTACCATATTTTAGATTAGAATTCAACAAATCTCTTGAAAGTGTTCATGAGTAAAGTTTTGAGTTAATTAGCTTATTATGGAGTTAATCACAATACAAGCAGAAGTTAGATAGGCATATATAGAAAATTAAATTATCTTATGATGGAGTTAATCAGTCGTATTTTAAAAATATTTATGAGTAAATTTTTATTTATCACCAAAATTGAGATGATGACACATGATTTGGTACTAAAATATAAAAGGGCATACAAAAATTATACAAATAACCTCAAAAACTAATTCCATAAATATAATCTAATTGAGAAAACAAATCTTAAAAGCATTTCGAAATCATGAATATGAATTTTATTCATGTATGAATTGATGCAATGAGGTCATTTAGCTCTATAAGTCAATGTTTCAAAATAAAGGCAAGTATGTTTAATAGCTCCAAACCACCAAATTTTCAATGAAATTGTGGAGTTAGAATAGAATTGTCTGGCTTGTGGTACTCTTTTTTTCATTTTTAAAGTGCCCCCATACAAGTTTAATAATATCAGTATACTTGAAAACTCAAATTTTCATAAATTATCATATGTATCATGCTATAAGTTCAATAACACTCATTTTACTTAATAAGATCATATTACCCCCAATAATTCAATCAAATGATAAATAAATTGATCGCTATCAATCACGATATGTAGTCTTTTATTGCCAACATTACCTTCATTAAAATAGAAATGTCACAAACTATATATTCTATGTTGTTCTTAAAGAAAGAGATCAAAGGACTAATTTGCAAAAATCTAAAA